TACAGCAGCTTAATGTGGCTATGACCAAGACAACTTTGTTCTGTTTTGTTTTGTTTTGTTTTGTTTGGAAATGATAACAGCATTGCTGAGAGAAAGATTAATCCACTTAGAGAGAAAATGGAAAGAGTGAAATTCATTACCCAAGTTCCACAGAGGATGATTCATGTGGAGCTCTGGCCAGCATTGGGCTATAGAAGGTTAATGACAATATGATGGGTGAAAGTGGGGTGGGGAGCACTGAGGATGGAAAAGAGTCAAGAATACAAGAAGCAGGTAATAAGAGGCCATCTTTATTTATTTATTAATCAAACCTCCATCTTCTCATCTTCTGATTATAACTTTTTACCTATTGATATCTATTAACTCTCCCTTTTCCATTTTCCTTTGTTTTAATACTACTTAGGAATTGTTCCACAAGGATTGCTGAATATTCCATGGCAGAGTAAGCAGATCCATTTTAGCATTTCTGTATCTTCAAAGGCAGATGATGTCCACTTGCCAGCGGGGAGCAGACCTAAGCTGCAGTCGGACATCCTTAGTGCTGCTGAGGAGGCGGGAGAGGCTCCCACCACCACCGCTGTACTGGCAGCCATCAGCCTGGCTTGTGGCTGAGCAGAGCTCCCCCATGTGGGAGCGCACTGACCACCAGAGGGCAGCTCCTGCATTGAGCGTCTGCCCCCTGGTGGTCAGTGTGTGTCATAGTGACCAGTCATTCCCAGTCTTTCTGCTGTTAGGGTCAATTTGCATATTATCCTTTTAATATATAGGATAGAGGCCTGGTGCACAGGTGGGGGCCGGCTGGTTTGCTCTGAAGGGTGTCCCGGATCAGGGTGGGGGTCCCGCTTGGGTGCCTGGCCAGCCTGGGTGAGGGGCTGATGGCTGTTTTCAGGCTGGCCACACCCCCTTTAGGGTGGGGGTCCCCACTGGGGTGCCTGGCCAGTCTAGGTGAGGGGCTGAGGGCTGTTTTCAGGCTGGCTGGCGACTGAAGCTCCCAGCCTCTCCTTTTTTTCTTTTTTTTTTAATTCTGGGATTTATTTACCTTCTATAATTGAAACTTTGTTGCCGTCACTGGAGCTGAGAGCTGGCTCTTGCTCACTCCAGCTCTGAGGCCACGGCCTGCTGAAAGCAGGTATCTGGGGTTTGTTTAGCTTCTATAATTGAAACTTTGTTGTCGTCACTGGAGCTAAGAGCCAGCTCCACTCCGTGGCCACAGCCGGCTGAAAGCAGGTAGGTATCTGGGGTTTGTTTAGCTTCTATAATTGAAACTTTGTTGCTTTTGGAGCTTAGATCCAGGCCGCGGCAGGCGAGGAACCTTGGCTTCCTCCATCACTGGAGCAAGCAAGCCTCCTGCTCGCTTCAGCTGCGTGGCTGCAGGCCGCCATCTTGGTTGGCGGTTAATTTGCATATCTCCCTGATTAGCCAATGGGAAGCATAGTGAAGGTACGGTCAATTACCCTTTTTGTCTTTTATTAGATAGGACTAGAGGCCCGTTGCACGTCAGCTGTGTGGTTTGCCAGCACACATCATTTACTGATCAGATTGCGTGAATGATCCTTGAGTGTGTGAGGCTCTGTGACCTCTCTCTCATTGTCTTGCTAGTGGAAAACATGAATATTCTTGCTAAACACCGAAGCTGACTCTGGTGGGCTAACGCACATGAATTCTGTTGACTCACATTGCCCGTGGATAACCAGCTCCTTGGAGTGAGGTTAAGTTTGTACCTTCGTTGTATAATATGAATAGAAAGAGATCTTAATTCAAGGCAGTAGCAGCAGACATTTCCACTTGAATCCTAGTGGGCAGACTGCTGTGCACTTTGTCGTGAAGAGTATTTTATTGTCAGATAATACAGATAATAGGGCCTATGCTTATCCACAGCCTAACTTTAAGGTTCCTACCTCATATATGTCTTACTTATCTTAAAAAAATGCACTCGTAAATGGGAATAAGCACTTCAATATTTGATGAGGAGGGTTAACATTTGATAATTGAATTTTTTTACAGTTAGTAGTATTTTAAATTTTGCTGCCTTAAAAATTAAGACTCTCATACCTTTCTCCAGAAGTAGAGATTTTGAAGTATTACACATTTGTATAGTAAGTGTTTTTAAGTTAAAATGTAAGTATTGTTACTTTTTCTTAAGTGTTGGTACTTTAATAGAAAGGTACATTTTTTAGTTTAACGATTGCCATGACATTTAGAGAAGTGATTGCCGAGGTCTCTTGCTGTCCAGTCTCACAGAAGATTTTCAGAGTTGAAGAGCTCTGTGTGATCCTAGTCAGCATTAGTTAGATTTTTAAAATATGAAACTAAATTGGGACAGTTCTCGGTGCACTGTGGCAGCAGGCCCCTGGATGTATGGTTCCCAGATGTATGCTCCATTCTCACTCCGGGGGCATCTTGCCAACTCCATTCACACGTGGCAGTGTGGTCCCAACGTGGTACATGCGTCACATTTGGGGAGTGGCTGATCACTGTTAGTTCACACCAGTGGTCTCAAACGTGGAGTCTGGGCCCCAGGAATTCACAAAGGAAGACTTGGCTGTGTGAACAAATCAGTAGAACTTGCGTTTACCTTTATTGTTGGGACTTTTTAGCTAAGCCTTTGTTTTGTCTATGTGTAATGTGTATGCCAGTGACTAGCATCATTTATAAATAATTGCACACACATGTGTTGGGTATATGTGCTCTCATTTTGTTTTGCCAACGGTGCTGTCTGATCAAGAAGGTTCAGACTAGATAAGGCTCTGAGGAGTGTCCGACAAGGATTCTGTCCTGTGACCTTCCGGCTCCTACATCAGTGAGTGTCATGATATGGAAGATTTGTGCATTTGTGTGCTTTCTTATGAAAAGAGCCATGGCTCCCACTAGATTCTCAAAGGCATCTTTGGCCCTGAAGGTCAAATATCTCTGGGCTGAAACCAATGAAGCTTGTTTGGAAGGACTCAGTCTTGTTTACAGATACCTTCTTAGGCTAAATTAAAGGGTATTCTATTTGAAAAATAAAATATATAATTAGACACGTATTCCTTTTAACAAGTAAAGTTTCACCAAGACTTCCGAGGAGCTGCAGCCACGGCCATTGCCGTGGTCTTGTGGTGTGGGGCCGTGCAGCATCCCTGGCTGGACTCTGGGTCCCTGTTGCCTTTAGAAAGATTTTGTTGTTTGTATGTTTTCATTAATCTTCTAGCTCCTTAAAACATTATAGTAGATTATTGTCTCTCAAAGTCAAAGCCATTGGCGCTGGGTAGATGTGACTACAAAAGAGCTACTTTTGGAAACATCCTGTTTTCCTGCCTGTTTGGTATGAAGAGTTTTCTGCTGTCTCTATGGGTTGCTTTTGTAGAGTCTGCCCTGGGCAGGTGATGGGATTGCATTGGGGTGGGGATGAGAGTTAAGTCTGAAAGCTGGCTTACAAGGTGAAATGGAGGTTAGTCGAAGTCATTCTTGAAACCCTTAGAGCACTCATAAAATAAAGGGTTGTGTTTTTTTAAAAATATATTTTAATTGATTTTTTTACAGAAAGGAAGGGAGAGGGATAGAGAGTTAGAAGCATCGATGAGAGAGAAACATCGATCAGCTGCCTCCTGTACATCTCCTACTGGGGATGTGCCCACAACCAAGGTACATGCCCTTGACTGGAATCGAACCTGGGACCTTTCAGTCTGCAGGCCAATGCTCTATCCACTGAGCCAGACAGGTCAGGGCTAAAATAAAGGTTTTGATTTATAGTGCTTTGTGGTTAAATTTTTATATGACCCTCTGTAGCTCTTTAAGTTCTTCCTTGAGAGATGGCAACAGTATACCAATGGTCAGAAAATCTTACCATTTACACATCCTTTCCAGTAAGTATGGGCCAAGGCACGTGCTCATTGAAGAGAAGGACTGTTTAAATTATTGCTTTTATAAGCGTGTACAGGTGAGTTAAAGGGACTTCCTTGCAATATGACACAACCACGCTGCATTTCCAGCTGTGCCATTTTATTCGTCAAACCTGTAGCATCTGATTCCCATGAATGATTTTTTCCTGAAAAGGACTTGCCTGTGTGTTTATTAATTTACTAGAGGCCCGGTGTACAAGATTCGTGCACTCGGGAGGGTCCCTCAGCCCAGCCTGTGCCCTCTCACAGTCCGGGAGCCCTCAGGTGATGTCTGACTGATGGCTTAGGCCGCTCCCCCCCCCGCCCCTTCCGGGGAGCGGTCAGACAGACATCCTTAGCACTGCCTCGGAGGTGGGAGAGGCTCCCACCACCGCTGCTGCGCTTGCCAGCCATGAGCCTGGCTTCTGGCTCAGCAGTGCTCCCCCTGTGGGAGCGCACTGACCACCAGGGGGCAGCTCCTGCGTTGAGCGTCTGCCCCCTGGTAGTCAGTGCGTGCCATAGCTACCGGTGGTTCCACTGTTCAATCAATTTGCATATTACCCTTTTATTATATGTAGGATTATTATATAGGCTGTAGTAAGTATTGAGTGTACGCAAGGCTTTGCTCTGGCATTGGGACCACAGGAGTCAGAAAGATGAAGCCCCTGCTCTCAGGACTCATCCTGTGGGGAAAGGAGGCAGTAAAGCAGCCAGAGGAGGCAAAGCTGTTCCAGGTCACGTGTGCGATGGAGAAACAGAATTTGAGTCGAGGGCATGGAGAGGCAGGCGCCCTCTCCAAGGACGTGGACAGGCGGGGATGGGGAAGGAGTGGGTTGTCAGGTGTCTTTTTCTATCAGACCCCTGTTTCCTGGGTCAGTGTTCACTCGCCCCCACATCCTTATCCCCCTCGCGCCCCCCCCCCCAGCAGCAGGGCAGTTCTGGTCAGTGTGAGCATGACCTCTATGTGACCTCTGTGTGAGTAGCACGTGGGGGAGCAGGCAGGGCGGACGGGTCTGGTTCCACAAGGCATAGTCACTGACAGAAATGGGAAAGGCCAAGGAATTGATCTGATTTGCACTTTATTTTGTGATGTCTGTGAACACATCATACCTGATTTTAAGGGCTGTTTGTTTTTAACAGGAATCACTAGATTCGATCTTCTGGGAGACTTCGGAAGGTTTAACTGGCTGGGAAATTTCTATATTGTGTTATCCTACAATTTGCTTTTCGCTGTGGTGACAACACTGTGTCTGGTCAGAAAATTCACCTCTGCGGTCCGGGAAGAGCTCCTCAAGGCCCTAGGTAATCCGCCGGCGCTGCGTGGTTTCTCTCTGCCTACTAATTCATAACTTTACATGAGAGCTAATTTTCAGTTTTCACTCACTCATTTCTCCAAATGTGTGAGCCCTTATAGGTCACAGTCCTAACCCTGGTGTGAGACCTCCCCACTAAGCACGGCCTTCCTCACCTGTAAGGCTCCTCCTGAGGACTGTGGGGACGCTGACAGACACACTTCTCGGGAGGCTGAGCCCCGTCCTGCGCGGTCGTAATAGGAAGCAACAGCTCTTTGTCTTGTGACTGGTGCTGGGAGGGAGTGGGGAGGGCGGAAGGATATTTTTGGGGAAGGACACCTTCTGTTTCAGTGAAGGATTTTCATGAGGTTTGGGTTTTGCAGGTGTCAGGCCGACCCCCAGTTCTCCTCAGTGAGCTCCACACAGCTCAGGATAAAGCATAGTGTTCTCGCATTCCTAGGAGCGAAGCGTCCTGACCCCGTCTCCATGGCCACGGGACAGTGGGCGCGACTCCTCAGTGGGTGAAAATGTGCCCTCGGAGTGTGTTGGTCCTGCTTACGTCAGCAGTAATCCTAAGCACGTTCCAGCCTTTAGGTGTTGGGAGCCCCGGGTCAATAGAAAGGACCACACATCAGCCTTCCAGGGTGTGGGCATGAACCTTTATAGCAAAAAGGGAAAGGCAGCAGTTGATGCTAGACAGTCCTGACGTGAGCTCACCCCCCTGCACTGGCCACGCTCGGCGCTCACACTCCACGCTCCATTGTGTTTCCAGCTCCTGGACAAGGCAGCCTGATGCTGGGCTCACTGAGGCCCTGCGCTCAGGTAACTGAGCCTTGTGAGCGACAGCAAAGCTTGGCTCACCAGGGCTTCCCAGCCCAGGGATTGAAAGGGTGACCTTTGGGCCTGGCCGGCGTGCTCAGTGGTGGAACGTGAACCTAGGAACCAGGAGGTCAGGGTTTGATTCCCGTCAGGGCACATGCCTGGGTTGTGGGCTCAATCCCCAGTGTGGGGTGTGCAGGAGGCAGCTGATCAATGATTCTCTCATCATTGATGTTTCTATCTCTCTCTGTTCTTCTCTGAAATCAATTTTATTTATATATATACACACACACACACACACACACACACACACACACACACTTTTTAAATAAAGAAAGGGTGACCTTGGGGAAGGAGAAAAGATTTCGGATTGTTTGTGTTTTACTTTATACTAACCCTGTAAGGAGGTGGCTGATGAAATATTGGCCCGAAAGGGAAAAGTTACGCCTCACTTCAGCCGGAGCACCAGAAAGTGGGTGGGTCCCTGCCCAGGTGTGGGATTCTGGCTGTGGGGTCTGCACAGTGGCTGGGATCAGGCAGTTCTGGCAGGCAGTGTCCAGAGTTAAACCGCAAGGCGCCGAGCTGTAAGCTCGCTCAGCTCCCGCGGGCACCTCTGCGATAGGGCGGCTGTACCCGCAGCGGGGCCGCTGCGTGCAGGGTCCTGGATGCCCCGTCAGGGCATCTGCACACAGTGGACGCTCAATTTAGCTACGGATGATGGTGCCCATGGCGGCTTCTGCACAAGACAGACACTGGTTCCTCCAAACCCCATCCCGGCAGCACCCATGTTTCAGAAGGAACCCCCCACCCAGGAGGGCTGTGTCCTGTCCCCTCTCCTGTGGGTGCACTGTTCTGTGTTGGGTTCCGTGGAAGTGGTGGCTCAGAGGCACAGGTTGCTGTGACTCACATAAATACTTTTTATTCTCTGAAATATTATCTTTGTTTAACTTGTTGCTTTGCCATTTCTTTTTCTTTTGGGAAATGTTTTCCATTGCCTTTCTTTTTAAATACGTGCTTCATATTTTGCTGTGCCTGTCCATGCATTTTCCTGTGTTCTTCATATGTGTGTATTTTGAAACACAAATGGATGATGCTTGTTTGGGGTTGGGCTCCCTGGGAAGCGCCCTTGGGGTAGGAACAGGCTTGCAGGAGGATCAGTGCTGAGGGTGGGTGAGTGGGGCGGGACCTCCATGGGGCGCTGTGTGTGCCACGGGGCTGGCCCGGGCCCGGGTGGAAGAGAGACCCCTTGGAGGTGTCCTCAGCACCTTCACTCCTATTAGTGCCCCACCACCCCCACCCGCCTGGGGCAGAGCCTCCTCTCACCATTTCCTCCTCCCTGCAGGACTCCATAAGCTGCACTTATCCAGGGCGCCCCGGGAGTCGGACACCGCCAAGCCGTCTGCCAATGGGCACCAGAAAGTCCTGTGAGGCCGCTCCGCTCTCAGCGCAGATGCGGGAGTGACTCGGACACTCCTGGTCCCAGGCGTGGTGGCCCCGCTCACGTTCTAATTGTCCTCTGGGAACCTGCGGGGCGTGGGTTCCAGCCCCACACCCACGTCTGCTCTGTCGGGACGGCCACCAGGAGGCAGCCGGGAAGCTAGGGCTTCCGAGGACTCGCTCCAGCCCAGGACCTGCACACGTGGAGGCTGCTGGCGGCACCTGGTGCTGGGACAGGAGGTGGCCAAGGGCGTGGGGCGAGGCCAAGGGCGTGCACAAGGTGCGGGAGTGTCTGTGCCTGGGACGTGGGAGCTGGCGTGGCGCCTGATATTTTCCACGTCCTTGACGCAGGAACAAAGCACAGTTCAGATTTAGTTACAGATGTGAGTCCAGGGGACACAGGGAACTCTTACCCCCACGCCTGGGCAGCCCTGCGTCACCAAGGTAGGAGGGAGGGGCCAGCCGGTTCCAAGTTCATGGCCGGTCAGTGTCACCTCTCCTGGCACAGCTGCCAGTGTGAGACCCTGGGACCAGCGCCCGCCTTACGGGCTGTATGACACCATTTTTTAAGCCCTTTTTTCTCAACTCCCTTAACTCCTCATGCTCCTTCGTCCATCCTAAACTAAGCCCTCTGGGTAGAAGCCCTTTTCTTTTGCTGCTGCTTCAGGCTTCGCTACTTTTGCCATTTAAACCTCAGACCCGGAAAAGCAACCAGTTTAGCACCAAATGCACAGCATCTGGTTCTGGCATAAGAAGAGTTTGGCCGACTATCGTGATCTGCTAGCCACCCAGTTGTTAAGCTGTAAATAATTCTCGGGGTCGTGTCGTGGCCCCACGTCCACTGAATAAAGTTGTCCCCCAGGAGACCGAGTTCTGTCGGTCGAGCGTGCAGGATCCGAGGGCCCCCGCACAGCCCCACACCCGGTCTCTACATGTCTCTACATACACACATATGTTCACATGTCTGTAAATACGTACATATATTCATATGCACTGTGTGTGTGCAATGAGCCATCTATGCAGGCAACAGTAAAATAACTTTTTTCTCAAATTGTTGCATTTAAAGCTTTTTGGGGGGGAGCAATTATGAAAACCAGGCTGTGTATATTGGACATCAAAACATTTCCACTTAGAGTCAAAATATTAAGAAAAATGAATGGGTATGTTTGTAAGCTCCACTGACTGCCTGTCCTCCGTGTACACCCACACTTCCTTCAGAGCCACGTGGAAATGCAGGCCGCTTAAAAGATAGTTGAGGATTGTGAACAGTACTCGGTAAGCCTCGTGCTCGTGCTGGTGATGGCCAGCATGGGACGCGCCCAAGGAGGCGCATGCAGTGCTTTCTCGTTCCTGCATCTGCCCGTGTGGGCATCAGCTGCCAGCTGTGGCTTTCGCGGGAACTCGTGGGAGTTGCCCTGGGACAGACGGCCACGGGAGAAGACACGCTTCTTTCAACAGAGTGGCGCTGCCCAGTCAGCCCAGTTCAGGCACGTCCCGGGAAGAGTTCTGGGCACGAGCACGACGTCCGACAGCGTCTGGGGCAGACAGTCACCTTTTCTGTGTTTGTGTCAGGTCTGTTCACTGACCGCTTCTCTCTGAGGACTGAGCCACCTGGCCGGGCCTCCCGGGGAGGCCTGCTACGGACACCCACACACAGGGCCCTGCCTGGTCGTGGCCTGCACGCAGGGCCAGAGCCTGCAGGGACCTGTCAGTGAGGGCTGGTGAAGGCCAGCAGCCGTCCCCAAAGTGGCGCTGCCCCTCGTGACCACAGGCCTCCCCCTTCCCATCTCCTGTGTCTTTTCTGAAGGCGTTAGGCCTGGGGGTACAGGTTTCTTGAGGAGACTCAGCTAACTCCTGTCATTAATTGGTTCTGCATATTTAAATAAAATATTTTAAAATTATAAAATTTACAGATGACAACTTTTGTAATGATTTTCCAACCTATTTCTTAGATTTAATGTTTTCTTAGCTTTATGAGCATTCTCTCTAAGCTAGATCTGTTCTAAGTAAACACAAACACATTCACATTAGCGCTCAGTGCACAGTGGGTGGTGGGTGGGAGGGAACTTTCTCGTGGTCCTGACTCCCAGGTGCGTTAAAGGTCTTCGGGGCACCCACACCTGCCTGACTTTGCTGGACCACAGTGGTCCCCCATGGCCTCGGTCACCCTGAATCTGTCCACAGCACAGGTTGGAAGCCTTGTTGCTTTCTGGTCGTTTGCATAGTATTTAATGAATAAAGAGAATTCTTACAGTAATTTAAAAAATATATGGGCGTATATACAGTACTGACTTTTTAAACTTTAAAAAATCTTTTTAAACTTTAAAAAATCTGGTCTGATGTTACTTTAAAAATAATGTTTGGAGACACTGGTAAATTTGTTTACAGGGCATTGTTTTTTTGTTTTGTTTGTTTTTTACAAATTGTTACTCCTGTTTCTATGAGATATTGTCAGTGTGACCATTTAAATGTCTTAGAAATTAAAGTTTTACAAAAATGAGTGCTTATAAGCACTGAAATGTGTTTTTCTAAAAAATCGGAAATACCATCATGTCTAAAACTTCAGGGTATGTATAGGTACTTCCATTTCCTTGTATAAAGAGCAGTAATTCTGGTGAGACACTGAATGGAGGCAGAAGCCACTATTTTCTCTCTTTATGGTGGAGTTACTGGTAGACCAGTTTCTTGCACTCTGAGATGGAGCCTCGATCGCGGAAATGATGTGTTATCCTAACTGAGTACCTAGATTTGTGTGCTTCCCCTGGTCTCTCCCACAGAAGGCTCGGCCGCACTGAGTGTGGTCCAGGCAGCGCAGCGAGCGCTCGGGACAGGATGGACACTAGCCGCTGGTGCAGGCACCGACAGGCAGTGCTTTACGCTTTCTGACCACAGAAGAGACACACTGTACATGTGAGTCAGCACGCGCACCCACACGCACACACTTCTGTCCATATAAACAAACATTTAACCAGGAGGGCCTCCTTTCACGTGTGTGATGTATGCTGGCATTTTCTATTCCATTTTGTTATTTTTTTTAACATAAACCACTAAGTCATTTCCTGACCTGTATTAATGGATGGTAAACTTTAGTTTGAAAGACACCACGTTGAGGGCTGTGAAAATTGTTCATCAGGTGAAATGTGTTATTCCAGATACCTGAGGCAGAAGTCCTAGGCATGCAGAGTCCTTGTTGCCCGCAAAAGTGTAATTAAAATCAGTCGAAATCGCTGAACCGCTAACAAATGGATTATAACATTTCAAAACTAGGTGATTGATCCCTATGTCTGGAAGGGGAGAGCTGGGAGCTGGTTTTTGAGAGAAGTGATTTAACCTCCAGTTGTGTGTAACTCAATTAGGAAGGTGTCTTTCAAGTTCAAATGTAACCAAATAGGAAATCCAGATGGAGACAGCTCCTCTTGGTGTCTCACTGCTGAGCCCTCCCAAGCAGAGGCCCAGCCGCCGGGCCAGCAGGACGCTGGGCCGGGAGCAGGGCCCCCAGTGTCCACCACGGGGCAGGGCCCTGGGCTGGGAGTGAGGCCGAGGCGGTGGTCACTGCGCCTTGTATATCTTCCTTTGAGACACTGTTACTGAAGACGGGGCCGCTGCAGGGATGCGGGGCAGCCCTGGAAATTGCACGGTTTTTTGTATCAGCAGACGGTGGATTTGGACAGTCAAGTGCCAGCTCTTCATGCGATGCCAATGTGGGCGCTTCCCATGTGGCCCTCGGTCCTCTGGGCGCGTCTCCGCCTCCAGCGTCCACAGCAGCCACCTCCTCTCGCTGTGTCCTCACTGTGGCCTTGGAGGTGAAGTGGCGGGCAGGGCGAGCCTGCCGTTTGCAGGGAGACCTTGGCCTCGGTCTCCCCGGTCTCCCCGAGCGCAGGCCCAGGCCCCGCTTCAGTCGTGGGGTGCCGAGGGGTGGGGAAGTGGCAGCAGCTGGCCTCCGTGTGCTCGGCTCACTCAGCCAAGGCACTGGGTTCCAGATGCTCCGAAGCGCTGCCCACGCCAGGGGACAGGAAGCTGGATTCTAAGGTGAGACTGATGTTATGTATGTCGCTTGCAAAAGGGACCTCCTGCTTTAAAATAGTGATGACAAGAACACTCCCAACAGCAGCCACTTGGTGCTCCCGGCGCCAGGCTTTGCTTTAGCGTTTAATTTGTGTGAATGTGCATTTACATATGTCATTTATTCAATCCCCATGGTGACCCTGTGAGGTGTGTACTGTTAGTGACAGTATTATTCCCACTTTGTAGGTGGGGAAGCTGAAGCACAGAGAGGTTAAGGAACCTGTCCAGGGGCCCACAGGATTCAGAATTCAAATCTCTGGCCAGCTCCCGAGTCCTGCCCTTAACCACTATATACACCACCTCTCAGGGACGTTTTACTCCCACTGACGGCCGAGGAGGGCCCCCACCCACACCCCGTCCCCAGGACTGAATGACAGAGCCCCTCTACCTCCAAACAGCTTCCGCTCCTCTAAACCAAAAAGGCGTGGCTCAGAGCTGTCACCTCAGTCTTGACGGGGACAGTAAACCAGGTAGAGAACACGTGTGAGACATTTGGGCCTTAAGAACACTACTTGATTGCCTTGAAAGGAATTGTGAGAAATCCTCACCTGTCCGAATTCAAGTAACGGACTCAGAGACAGAAGTATGGGAAAAATCAGACTTTTAATAAGTTCTCAAGAGCAGGTGTCTGTCCAGTTGTACAGGCACACCTGGGGCAGCAAACACAGCCTGTTTATTCATTCCCTCCTCCGGGTCCTCATTGGCTGAGCACTATGGGGTCACCTGTTTCCTCATATGTCGCTTAGGTCTTGCTGTCTCCCATTGGGCCATTTAAAAAAATTGGGCTGAAGCCTTTTCTAGTTGCCTCCACCTCCCCCAGTCTAGTTGAGGCAGGTACCTCGGGGGTTTCCACCATGATGTTGGCCACAGTGCTTTGTTCTTATATCCTCTTCCCTCCTCCCTACATTCTGTTTGCTCTGGGGAAA